GACGTCAGAGGGATGGGAAGCACCGTCCTCATCATCCTCATCGGTCTGTGTCGCATGCTCAGGGTGCGCAGGGCACATGCGAGTAAAAGATTCCCTTGAGAAAGTCCCTCAAGGACGTTGGAAGCTGTCTTAAACTGAGTCAAACTTTTAGTCCATCCGCACCAATAGCGCTAGCTCTGACCGGCAGCCGTGGCTCTCCCGTTTGGGCGTGGGCGCTTGCTATATCTGAAGCCAGAGCCTACATCTGCCCGACCCCAACTGGCAGCTACTGCGTGGGGTTTTCTGTTGAGATTTTTCCCCCCTCGTCCTGCCTGGGGTTTCCTAGTAAACTGCCCCAACTTAGGCTCTGATCCAGGCTTCTTAAATCAGATCAGATCTGGTCTCTTCAGGGTGACAACGGTCTGGGTATCACCTACAGGGATTCATTCAACCCTAACCCTTTTAAAGCTGTCTGGCCGGGCAGCCGCAGCGGCATCCTGTGGCAGGGAGTTCCACAGTTCGCCTGTGTCCTGCATCCAGAACACTGCCTCTTGTCTCTGACTCGCGGTGAAAACTATGCCACTTTTCATAACTGGAGCGGGGGGTGGGCACCGTTTGATTTTCTCCAGCGCATATTATTAAATTTCTGTATCTGGCCCTGCTTGAGTTCTAAGCTTCCCCGTGACTTCCCGGTTACCCCAGGTGGATGAAATCTAGTACCCTTTAGATTTTGAAGGGTTCGTGATGTGTGCAAGGACCAGCCATTGTGGCCAGAGATTATTTTGCACCAGGGAGATCGGGGAGGAGAGACTTCAGGGACAGATAGGAAGGAATGGCCTCGTGTTAAACTGTGGAACTCATGGCCACAGGAGCCACTTGAGAATTAGATACAGGTTAACGCTCCGAAGGCGGCTGCCACTGTGGAGGACCGTGGAGGTTCTAGACTTGGGGTTCTAGACTTTTCTTGTTCGGGTTCTGCTGGTGGCAGTGGCGGGAAGACAGCTGTCTCACAGGGTGCCCTTTGGTTTTTCCAGGTGGGGCGCTCTTCCCTGCTGGTGGGGAGCTTGAAGAAGAAGTATGCGCAGGGCCTCCTGGCTGAGAAACCGCAGTCGCAGCAGCCGCAAGACAATACGACCACCACCGACTCGGACATGGAGGATCCTTATCTGCAAGGTGAGGCGCCGTCAAACAGGGAAGGGTGAGAGGGACCTTGACCATGGACAAAGCAGCTTTCTGTCTTTGGTCATGTCATCTCCTCCCTGTCCTCTGTGGCCAGGGGTGGGCCCCTTAAAGCTTCTTCCTTGGCCTCTCGGGACCCCCACCCGTCCTGGAGAACCTCCTCTGCCCGAGTCGATGCAACGGCCAGAAGGATGTGGGGTTGGAAAAAGGACGCCTGCACTTTTGATTCTTGCTCCCTTCTGTGGTCCCTTTCTGGAATGTCAAAGCTGTTCTGTAGGCAAGAACAGAATTCTTTAATGCCCTTGACAGTGTTGTGTTCGTCCAGTCCCACCCCAGCAACCCCCAGATGTCTGTTGCCACTACGCCGACACAGGGTGTAAACACAGAGAGGGGGGGCAGGCTTTTTTGGCTTTTTCTCCCCAAACTAACACCCGATCACTCCCATTGGGGATGGAGCAAGAGAGCCCCATCTATCTTTGTGGACAGCTCATAGAATCCCAGAGTAAAGGAGTGGGAAGGGGGTCCCATAAGGGCATCCAGTCCAGCCCCCCCTGCTCAAGAAAGGAATCCAAGTCAAAGCAGATCTGACCAAGGGTGGTCCCATTTTCTCTTGAAGGCCTCCAGCGTGGGAGTGCTCACCCCCTCCCCCTAAGGTCATGGGTTCCGTTGTCGTACTGCTCTAACAGTTGGGAAGTTTTTCCCAAGATTCAGCCGAGATCTGGCTTTTCCTGTCGCTTGGGCCCCTTATGACATGTCCTGCACTCTGGGATGATGGAGGACAGATCCTGCCCCTCCTGTGTAGGGCTCTCTTTCAAGTCTTTGAAAAGTGTGATCGTATCTCCCCCCAGTCTTCTTTTCTCGAAGCTCAACAGGCCCAGATCTTTCAGTCTTTCCTCCTAGGGAGCCCCTTGATCCTCCTTCTTGCCCTCCTCTGAACTTCCTCCGGTCTGTCGGCATCCTTCTCCAATTGGGGTGTCCAGAACTGGACCTAGGACTCAAGGTGAGGTCCAGCTAGCGTCAGAAGAACGACTCCTTTGCAGAATTTGCAGACTGTGAATGCAGCCTAAAATAGATAGCATTGGCCCTTTTTGCAGCCGTGTCGCTCAGTTGGCTCCTGTTCAGCGTGTGGTCTGCCTCTGTGCTTTTGTCCCCAGAATCCAAAGACGAGGGGTCGCCACCCAAGTTGAAATGTGAACTCTGTGGTCGTCTCGACTTTGCGTACAAGTTCAAGCGGTCCAAACGCTTCTGCTCCATGGCTTGTGCCAAAAGGTACCCTCCCTCCCCGTCCCAACACCACTTCTCTCCCTCCCTCCCTCCCGAAACATCATCTCCCAGTGATCATCCCCCAGTTACTGCCCTCGATCATGAATGCATTAGAATAGCATGCAAGACTAATAGTTCAAAACAGTTGCTGTTTGGAAACGGGCAAAACCTTGAGCGAATTGGGGGTAACGAATCATTTGTTGGTATTCGGTCTTTGATTTCGATGGGGTCAACGGTCAGGCTTTCACCCTCTCTCTCTCTCTCCTGGCAGATATAATGTGGGCTGTACGAAACGCGTCGGGCTTTTCCACCCGGACCGCAGCAAACTTCAGAAACCAAACACACCTCAGCACAACCGGCGTCGGACCTGCAAGAGCGCTCTTCCCCCACTCAACAAAGAAAGCAAAAAGCAGGTAGGAAAGCCTATCTTGAACAATTTGCCCGAAATGGGGAGTGGTTGGACAAGCTTCGGGAGAGAAAATTACAGTAGGATCCCCACTATCTGCGGGATCAGTATCCGCTGATTCACTCATCCAGTGCCAGAAAATACTAAATAAAAAACCCCAGAAATATGTGTTTATATGTATTTCCAAGGTGTATTTACCAGAACTGTCCACTAGACAGAGCCAGAGACCACATAATGTATAGCGTTCCATAACTCTGTTTTTTGCATTCGTGGGGGGCTTAGAACCGATCCCTCGTGGATACTGTGGTCCTCCTATATCTCCCTGACTCTATGACAATTCCAGGATTTATATTGTGTGGGTTTTCCGAATGAGGGGTTTTCGGAACAGTGGTTCGTTGGTAGCTTTCTTGAAATACGGAAATAATTGGGAGTCTTGCACAGATCGGCCAACTTACGTTGATTTTAAGAACAGAGGGCCGGTATTCTGTTCGGTGCTAACCTACGCGCGGAGCTCTGACTACAGAAGCTGCGGTGACGGCATAACAAAGGGCTTGTCTTGCGTGATCCAGCACATCGGCCAGTAGGTCTGCGCACCACGAGTTCTGCGTGGCCAAATAATTGGAACTGGAGATTGCCTAAAGAATGTTGTGACACCTTAAAGATATGGTGTAGGGTTTTTTTTCAAATTGGAGCTGCTGGCTGGCTAGCTCAGGGGTTGAGGTCTTTGGCTGTGGAGCTGGAGGTTGGGAGTTCGATTCCTGCCATGGGGCCTCCTTCACAGCAGCTGAACTCCTGTGATCCGGGGGCTGTCCCTTCCAGTTCTGCCATTCCAAGATGATGATGGAAGCTGCAGCCTGCCAATAAAAATTGGTCATGTTTCAGGTACCACAAGAGCTTTAGCTACCCACCAAGCGAACACAGCCCTCCCGCCTTGAAGTAGCTTTAGAGTTTAAAAGGAAAGGAAACGTGTGTTATTTTATATTTTGTGACATTTTGGGTTGTAAGTGGCTTGCGCAATAGTGGTCTGTGTCCACATCATGTTTGTCTGCCTGTGACAGACCAAAGTTGAAAACTAGTGGTTGGTCTTAGATGGAAGAGACTCCGTTGAGCCCTCACGGATATGGGTGAAAATCCAGCTGACGCAGTGCTTCTGTTTTGTTTAAGAACTGCAAGTGTGTTGGAGGACACATTATTTAAAAACCAGGTGTATTTGTGAACCGTGTTGTCACTCTCACCATCGCAGGTGTGGAGCGCTATTGTAATTTTATACATCCCTATCTATCCTGGATAAAGTGTTGTCTTAGTTTATTTGTGAGGCTTCCAGCCTGCGATCTCGGGATGGCAAGCTTGACTTCATCTCAAGAACAAATGTGAAGTTGTCCAGGATGAGGAAATACAACTGGACCGTATGTCCTGTTATGAGCCTCCCTGGGTGTTAAGTTCATCCGAGGATGGCGTTCTCTGTGGCTGCCGCCCAGACTGTGGAACTCCCTCCCGCTGGAGGCCAGCCTGGCCCCATCTTGGCTGTCCTTTTGCAAGCAGACAAAGACTTTTCTCTTCAGGCAGGATTTCCCTTGGCTGCCTGAGTGGTTTCTTTTTTGATTGATTGTTGTTCCTTGTTGCTTTTAAATGTGTGTTTAGTACTGATTTGATTTACTATTTTCAATATAATATTTGTTTAATTCTTTTTAGTATTTTTATACCGTTTTTCGCTTTTAAAGGGTTGTTTTTAAATGATGTGAGCTGCTGTGGGTCCTTTTTAAGGAGAAAGGCGGGGTAAAAATACTTTAAATAAAATAATTTTTTCATGGCTGAGCAAGTAGTTAAAAGTGAATCTCAGCATGTGGCTTTCTGGATACAAAACTGGTTTTAATCTAGAAAATAAGAACAGGATTTATAAGCCTCATGCATCTCACATGGAGAAAGTCCTGGATTTTTAAACCACATGCATCTCACATGCAAGAAGAGCTGGGTTCATTAAGCACATGCATCTCACATGAAGCAGTCCTGGGTTTATAAGGCACATGCATCTCACATGTGGAAAGCGCTGGGTTCATAAGCCACGTGCATCTCACATGGATATTGTCCTGGATTTATAAGCCACATGCATCTCACATGCAAGAAGGGCTGGGTTCATTAGCCACATGCATCTCACATGCAGGCAGTCCTGGGTTTAGCCTGCAGTGTTAACAAGGCTGGGAAGCTCCATCTGCCTGAAACCCTGGGCTTCGCTGATGATCAAAACAACCAACCCAGTACTGCCGCTATAGGGAGCCCATTCCCTCTCGCTTCCTGTCTTCCCAGGCTCCGGTATCTCTGCCCCCGAGTTCGGGGCCCCTTTCGGTCACAGGCTCACTGCAGCTCACCCACGGCCAGGAGGACTCGAGTCGCTGCTCGGACAACTCCAGCTACGAGGAGCCCCTCTCCCCACTCTCGGCCAGTTCCTCAGCATCCCGGCGGCGCCCGGGCGAGCGGGACATGGAGCTGCCTGACGTCCACGTCCGGGACTTGGTGGCCCTCGGGCACCACTTCCTGCCCAGCGAGCCCACAAAGTGGAACGTGGAGGACGTCTACGAGTTCATTCGCTCCTTGCCGGGTAAGGGGAGCGCTGGTTGTGGAAGCGAATTGGACAGCTGGTTCTTGGAGAAAGACGCCACTGGGAAAGAGGGGACACTGACCAGCTGGAAGGTGGTGGTGGTGGGGAAAGCAGAAGCAAAACTGACCAGCCTGTCAGTTTCGGGGAAGCTGTGAATTATTGCTGCACGGGAGTGCAGCCTGAGATATTGTGCAAAGCAGCAAATCGCCATTCCCTAAGGCAGTTTAAAAAGCGGGGTAGCTGAAACAATATTTTTTATCGCTTTCTTGAAAAAAAACCACCCTGACCATTGCTTTGCATTTGGAGTAGAAGTAGTTAACAGGTGGAAAAAGGAGCCAGCTTTCAGATTTTTTCCCCTTGCGAGGTGTCGTTTTGTGTATGATCGTGAGCTGGAGATCCCGTCGAGACCCTCTAGACAGCTGCCATGGGTGTCGTCAACACTCCGCCTGCCCTTTCCTGGGTCAAGCGTGGCATCCCTTTTTCCTGCTGGCAACGTGGGCCCGATTTTGTGCACCAATCCTGGCTTTCTGAATTGTGGCTCCAGAAGCCACAAAAAATGGAGGGTTTTTTTGTTGTTGTTTTTTTGAAGAACTGAATTCGTTATAAGTCTTTGTGTTGTTAAGGGTGCCCTGTTTGCAGGGCCCTGATGTCAACCTAGCCATAATATATATTCTCCAACTAGTTATTCATCTGCCCCCAAAAGCCTCCAGGAAACAAGGGGGTTTCGCTGGACCTGGTTGGAACATGAACAGGGAATGAAGGTTGCGGCACCACATTCTGTTTAATTCTTGCTTGGCCGTAGGGGCATGTCCAGCGCTAAAAGGCAATGCTGGCCTTATTTTAGTTTTAAGCTCTTGGGCTCATAGTTAAGCCATAGGAGTGATAGTTCTTCGTTGTTTAGAATGGGGTGGGTGGGTGGAAACTGCCCAGAAGCTAGCAAAAGATAGGTAGCACGGGGGGAAGAGACTCAGGAATACTGGATGTGGACCTTGGGTCTTGAGATTCACCCAGCCGTTATCCCGTAACACACATGCTCAAGGTAGCGGTCCGCTGGGAGCAAACCTGTATCCCTTTAATTGCAGTTTTAACTATCACAGCTCCCATTTTAAGGGAGCCTGGTTGTGATGAAGGAGTTGGAATTTTTGGTGTCATTTCTGGGAGGGCGGTAGGCTTGGTTAGCTGAGAATTGGGCGGGTTCCCAATACATTTACACAAAAAAGTCCTCCACCCCAGAAGTATTCACAGAAGCATAAAACTGCTGGATAGCTCAAGGGTTTAGGGCATCGGACTGCAGAGTGAGAGGTTGGGAGTTCGATTCCGCCCACTGGGCCTCCGTGACAGGGGCTGGACTGGATGATCTACAGGGTCCCTTCCAGCTTTGCAGTTTTAAGATGACGATGATGACATTATTATATAGCCTCCAAATCCCACGAAGCACTGGTTCCTCCCTATTCAGCACTCACTGGCCAGGCCTCTTCTTGAAAACTGTGTCCAGTTCTGGACACGGCACTTCAAGAAGGATGGCCAACAAACTGGAGCCAGTCCAGAGGAGGGCGAAGAGGAGGATCAGGGCGCTGGAAAACAAGCCTTAGGAGGAAAGGCGGAAAGAATTGGGCAGGTTTAGCCTTAAGAAGGCTGAAGGGGAGAGAGAGGAGAGCCCTTTTCAAAGACTGAGAAGGGGCAGAATCTGTTCTCAGTCATCCCAGAAGAATGGGCTCAAGCTGCAGGAAGCCAGCTTTTGGCTTCCTAACTGTTAAGAGCAGTATGACAACGGAAACAGTGACCTCAGGGGGGAGGTGGTGAGCGCTCCAACGCCGGAGACATTAAAAGGTCAAAGGAGACCACCCTCTTGTCGGATCTGCTTTGATTTGGATTCCTTCCTTGAGCAGGGGGGTGGACTGGATGGTCTTACGGGACCCCTTCCCACTCCATGGTTGTAGGATTCAACCTGTTCTAACGGCCCGGTGTAGACCTCGTTCCGGTCTCCCACTGCTTGTTGGACCCGTAACTCAGAGGAACGAGGCACATGGTGGGGCCCGACCTTGCTCCCTGTTTGGATAAGAAACGGTGAAGGCGGCCCTCTCTTCCGTGGCTGATGGGGTGTGTGTGTGTGGTCCCTTCTCTCTCTCCCTCCCTCCCTCTTGCAGGCTGCCAGGAGATCGCAGAAGAGTTCCGGGCGCAAGAGATAGATGGCCAGGCTCTCTTACTCCTCAAGGAAGACCATCTGATGAGCGCCATGAACATCAAGCTGGGCCCCGCTCTCAAAATCTACGCCCGCATTTGTATGCTGAAGGATTCTTAGGGAGCCTCGGAAGGGATTCGGCTCTCCGGCAGGGACGCCTCGAGTTTTTGCGTTAAAAGGGATTAGCAGCCACCGGGAAAGGACGGATGTTGCTTCCTCGTATTCCCCCCCGACATCACTTGAGCACAAAGCTTCTCCCATTATGGGAAGGGCTGGCCGAGACAGACCCCCCCCCCAGCCCTCTGCCCAATTTGGGTTTGCTGGCCAGAGGGAAAGGCTAGGGAGGTGTAAATAAATATGTAGCATTTTAGCTTCCCCTTTTCAACCCTCCACGGCCAAAATCCGGGTGGGGGGATGATTTTCGAGGGTGTGGGGAGGTGGCAATCAGGAACCCCCCCCCTTTCTTCCTTGCTAGAAACAGGTACTCTTCCACCCTGGAGGCGTCCAGAACAATCGGCTTAAAAGACTCTGGCCTCCCTGGAAAAACCTCAAAAGCCAAACAGGAACGTTGCCTTAAAAAAGAAAAATGTTGTGCGTGTGTGTGTGTGTGTAGACGTGTGTGTGGTTGTGGTGCCACATAGTGCTCTTTCGATCTCCTCCCACTTCGTTCTCCACCCCAGCACCACCGAGCTTTCCTTCCGACGGGCGTTTTGGGGTGTGTGTGTGTTAGGCAACTTCGCCCCCCTTGTGGGAAAACCGGACTCTCGAACGGGGAGCCTCCCTTCCCCACCGGATTTCTGATCGGTTCCCCTTTCCGGTCTGTCATAAGGGTGCCGCCGGGCTTCCCTCCCCTTAGCGGATCCTTCCGGGAGGAAGGAGGCGAAGCCATCTGAACCGTCAGCCCCCCCCAGCCGTCCGTCCATCCGTCCCAGGTCCCCCTCATCTCCCTCTCGCTTTCTCTCCCACCTTGGGATATTCGGCAACTGCTTTCTGATACATATATATTTTTGGACCAATTTCTTCAACTGCCTTAAAAGACACACTCCTTCCGCACCTTCCCCCCTTCTTTCCAGGCAGGATGGGTGGAGACCCAGCTGTTTCCTGAAAACGGCTGAAAAGGAGAAAATAAGGGGCCGAGCAGCTGAGCTGTTCCCCTCTCGGGGCTCTGTGCGTGGTGCCCCCCCCACTCACCCCCTCCGGTGCTGGCCACTTACAACAGCCTTCAGGGCTGGAAACAAAGGTCTTTCTACTGTTCTCCCCTCTCCTCACCTGGTTTTTAATAAATTCCTTTTCCAGAAATGAATTTAGGCGGCTTTGTTGTTTGTGCCTGGGGGGGCGGGGAGCTCGTCCTTTTCCCCCCAGGAATGCAGGATCGGAAGGGATCCCTGGATATAATTTCTCTGGCTAGGGCAAGAAATCTACGGTAAAGCAACCCAGCGTTAGTTATGGGAGGCTTCCCTGCCCATCAGTGTAAGCCAGGGATTTTATGAAGACATTCACATCCTTGTCTAGTTCCCAAACACTTTGTCATCAAGCCTCGGCACTTTTGCTGTGAGTCTGTCACCTTTCCATGCTTCTAATTTTACTGCTCCCCTCTTCTGCGGAGTTAAAGGTTGGGAGTTTAATTCCCCCACTGTGGGCCTCCTGGGAGAACAGCCAGCCTGGGTGGCATTGGGCCAGCTGCACAGTCCCAGGATGCTCTCAGAAAAGAGGAATGGGAAACCACTTGTGAGTACAGTAGGGCCCCTGTAAATAGCAAATGCATAGCACATTAAAAGAAAAAAAATATCCAGAAAGGTATTTTCACCATGTATTACCAGAATTGGTCATTAGAGGGAACCAGAGACCATGCTATGTATTCTATGACAATAATTCAGCACTATCTCTAGCTCCTTCTAGTGGCCAGCTCTGGTAAATACATTCTAAAAATATTGTTTTGTCTGGATTTCAAAAATATTTTTAATATTTTCAGGCTATGGGTAAGTGAAGCCGTGGATAACTGATTCCATGGATACAGGGGTCCTACTGTTCTCTTTACCTGGGACACACTGAAAATGTCAGAATTGACTTAATGGCACATTATTATTCACCTCTTTTTAATGAAAAAAAAAAGTAAATTAACTTTAGATTCTTAAAAAAACTTATAAAAGTAAAAATAAGGACAAAAATGAGTAACAACTAGTTTTAAGCTATCACAAAAAAAGTTACAAATTTAGCTTACCTTTGGGCTTTGGCAGAAACGGAACAAATTTAATGGGAAGGATCCGGAAGGCATAAATGAATCTTGTGATCATCCTCTCTCCCCATTTTTTCCATACCCTCCCCATCTTGTTTTCGTTGGAATCTCCATTTGGAATTCAGTGATTAGGGTCCTGCCCTCTGAAGGACCACTGGCAAGGATGATGGGCATTGTAGTGGTTCCCTCTGTAAGGTGAGTGCGGGATGTTTGCCGCCGCGCACCCCAGAGACAAAAGGCCGGCACTCCTGCAGTCGAGCCCAAGAATGCAAAGACATTTTTTATTCATATTTTTTCCACCACAGAGAGAGAGAGAAATACAAAGCAATTTCTTTAAAATCTTCCATTTCTTTGTTTAAAACAATGCAAAGAGCGTTTTTTTTGGGAGGGGCGCTAGAGAGAGGAAATGGGTTCCTCTGCCTGTTGTTTTTGTTATCACAATGCAAGACTTGAGAAAGAACAAGAAGAGACCCTTTAAAAAATAAAACAAAAGTCCCCCCCATTTCCCCCCATTAATAAGGTAATAATAATAATAATAACTAGGGTTCTAACTAGATGTGACCTGGGCTCTTATATAGAAAAAAAAAGGATGTTAACATTATGTATAAGAGTCCTATTTACAGAGTTATTAACATGCTGACTGGAAAAAAAAACCCTACAGTATTTGAATATCATACAACATCAAGATGGAAGGGAAGGGGGATTTTAAAAAGAAAACGAGAGACAGAGAGAGAGGCCCAAATCAATATAAACACACAAAAAAGGAAGAACCAACCAGGTTAAAAACAAGAAGCAGAACGGTATTTTTAAGGCTTAAAAAGTGTTTTCGTTTTTTTAAAAAAGAAATGACAGTTAAATTCACAACGCCTCCCCTCTCCGAAAAAAAATAGAAAAGCGTATAAGGAAGAGGCTTCTATGAAGTTGTGCGTGTGTATGTATGGTGCGACTGTTGTATTGCACGAACGTACACACCCCACAACCAGCCCAGTTGGCTTAGAGGAACATAGGTTCAGCTTGGATTAGCGTTCAGTCTTATAGCAGCACAGCGCTAAGTCACTAAAGAAAACAGCCCTTCTCCACAGCTACTGGGGAGCAAACCTTAGTGGGTGCTTGGGGGGGGATCCATGCACTTGGGGGTCCCACAATGGTTTCTGTGGAGTTGGTGGGGGTGTGTGGCAGGCCAGGGTTGGTTGGTTCCACCATTGCAGGTTCTTGATCATTGTAGGATGACTGGTTGACCCACAAAATCTAGCAGGATGGAGGCACCTAAGGCCAACATGTGCTAAGAAATGTCCAAATTCAGAGCACAGCAAAGGTGGTAGGGTTGCTATCTAGGGAAACCGTGTTTGCATTTCATTCCCCCTTTTGTTCTTGTGGTTCGCCGGTCTGGGGGCTTTTGTGGGACAGAAGGAACACCCTAACACTCCCTTAAAATAGCTTCCAGGCAGGTGGGAGAAATACATGTTAAATAATAAAAATAATACTAGACAGGGACAGAAAATTATGCCACTGTGGCAGCTGAACCTCCAGAGACACTGCTGCTTCTAGCAGGGAGGCATCTGCTGATGGGTTGCAGGAAGTGTCTGGGGCATGGCTCAGTTCTCACAGCGACACAGAGACCCAAGAGACTCTACCGCCACGCCAGATGCTCTTGAGACGGCATGGCCAGAAGCCGCCATCTATCTATCCCTGTGGCTTTCATGGTTGGAACCTTGACTTGGCATTCTTGGGGAAGAGCCAGGAATGGAGGGCAGGTGGTCTAGATCAGTGGTCCCCAACCGTGGGCCTCCAGATGTTCTTGGACTTCAACTCGCAGAAATCCTGGCCAGCAGAGGTGGTGGTGAAGGTTTCTGGGAGTTGTAGTCCAAGAACATCTGGAGACCCAAGGTTGGAGACCACTGGTCTAGACCATATAAAAGAACAAAACTTATCTTGGTAACCTTTAGGTCCTCTCTGCACCAGATGAGGTCCCCCTCTCTGGCAAAGGATGCACCCAGTGTTAAAGCAGTCTTAGATAAAGGCTCTCCCCCCCCCCCCAAATTCACTCTTTGCACCCAAATGAGGTGGCCACAATGTGTAGAAGGGGCCGACGGCAGGCCATGAGAAGCCTCAACTTCAACTGAACTGCAGAGATCTGGGGCTGTGGCAGAGGGGTTCCAGACACAGCTGGATCGCAACGCCCTGCGTCTTTCTCACCCGGATAGGGGCTGATAGGAACTGTAGTTCAGCAACCTCGGGAGGGCCACAAGCGGGCTGCTCTGCCGGCCTCGCGCTTCAAGGTCTCAGTAGACCCCCATATTCTTTGGGGGGGTTTTACCCTCCCCCCGTTGCAATCCTTTGCCCTCACCCCAAATGCACATGTGGGGAAACAGAAGCATGGAGCATTCCCCATGGGGTGCCAGAAGCTGGGGAGAACCTAATGCAGACCCCCTTCTGATGAAAGGAAACTAAAAAAGTTAACTTTCTTTCCCAGAGACCTGTCCCCAGGCCTTTAAGCAATCCTTCCAGATGCTGCTGGGGTTCCAACAAAGGCTGCCCCCCATGACTATGGGAAAAGAGGCGGGCTTTGACACACACACCCCACTCCCTCTCCCCCACCCCCCCAGCAAAGGTGACCAGGTAGTGAGATCCTGACATAACGCAGGCTACCTATTATTTGTACCCCAATCCTGGGTCCCCAGCTTGTGGGCCACGCTCCGGCCGTGCCAGCTGCGCAATCTTCTCCCCACACCTTCCTAGCCTGGGGGAGGCACCTTGGCATGGCTCTGAGCCGGGACGCCCCCTTCCTCGTTTCAACCTAGACGCTTTGTGAGTTTAGGATGCACAAAGTTGTGTCTTTTTTCACGTTGCCACCAAGCCGTCGCCAATTCCGCCTCGCCGTGCCACGGCACTCGCCGGTGGCCGGCAACGCTCGCCCGTCGTATCGGATTCCAATCCCCGTCCGAAAAAAAATGTCCTATCGGTCACTCCAGAGGAGAGTCCAAAGAGGGGGGGGTGAGCCGTCTAGTTCGAATATCGTCACCGTCAAAATATAAAATAAAAATTGAGGAAATCAGACGAGATTGAGAAAAAAAAGGAAGAAAATCAAGAGGGGCTCCACGGAAGGAAGAAAGAAAACAAGGCGGTTCAAAGTGCTGTGGAACTGTCTTTGGCTGACCCCCAAACTCAAAAAAATACTTCCTAGATATCCCCCACGAAACATACAGTCCAAGGCTGAGGCCCCGAGGAGGAGGAGATCTGTCCTTGGTCCTGACCGTAGCGAAGGAAGCGCCCTTCGCACCAGAAAAGAAGCCGAGGAGGTGGCGGCGGCGCTGGAGAACGTGGTTCACGTGATCCAATCCGAGGCTGTTCTGTCCTTCTTCTCCCTCCCCCTCTGGTTCCGGGAGTCGAGAAGACCCGCCGTGCAAAGGGAGGGTGTGTCCTCGTGGTTCATATCAGGGAGATCCGCACAGGGATGCCCGGAGACTCTGTTCTTTGAGGAGAATGTTGACTCACTAGATGTTCAACCACTGTGTGTTTGGACATGTGCTTCATCAGATAGGTTTCCTGAAGAGGAGGAGAGAAGGGGGACAAGAAAGGGAGAGTCAGAGAGAGGGAGGAACTCACACCTACCAGAGCCCCTTAGCTGTCATGAAAACTGCACTCCAAAAATAATCAGGGTACTCCAACAAAGTCATTTTGTATTGAAGGAACTGATTCTTCAAAAAAGGAGGAAGCAGGGAACTACAGGCCAGTCAGCCTGACCTCAACCCCACAAAAAAATCCTGGAGCATATTAGAAAGCAATCACTCTGCAAGCACCAAGAGAAGAATGCAGGAGGAACTAGAAGCCAACATGGATTTGTCAAGAACAAATCCTGCCGGACTGATCTGATCTATTTTTTTTTACCACCCTGATAGACGGAGGGAATGCTGTAGACATAGTATATCTTGACTTCAGGAAAACCTTTGCCAAAGTGCCCCATGATCTCCTGACGAGCAAGCTAACTAGGTGTGGGCTGGATAGAATAACTGAAGCTACCAACATTAATTTGACCCAACTCCAGGAGGCAGCGGAAGACGGGGGACTGGCGTGTTATAGTCCATGGGGTCACGAAGAGTCAGACACGACTTAACGATTAAGCAACAACAAAGGATACACAGTTGGGTATGGAGTCGTACTCAGAGAGTGCTTATTCTTCTCAAACCAGAAGGAGGTCACAAATAGGGTACCCCAATGCTCAGTCCTGGGCTGGGGCCTCTCCAACATTTTTATGAATGACTCGGATGAGGGAGGGCAGGGAATACTTAATCAAATTCGGAGATGATACAAAATGGGGTGGATTAGCTAATACCTTGGGAAACAGGAACAAAATTCAAAAATATCTGGATAGGTTGAAACCCTGGGCTGAATATAACTGAATGAAATTTAAAAGGGGTAAGTGGGTAAGGGGTAACTCTGAGGAAAGACGGGAAGAAGTGAGAAAAGAAGACTGAGGGGGAGAAGAGACAGGATGGCGCTTTGCAAAGAGTTGAAAGGCGGTCCTACAAAGGATCCGTTCTCGATCCTCGCAGAGTGCAGAATCCGTCACGATGGGCTCAAGTTACAGGGAGACAGATTTTGGCTGAATAGCGTGGAAAAACGTCTTAACCGGGAGAGCAGTATGACAACGGAACCCATCGCCTCGGGAGGAGTGGGTGAGCCCTCTCAACCTGGGAGGCCTTCAAGAGAAAACGGGACCACCTTCTGCTCCGATCTGGATTCCCGCCTTGAGCAGGACCGTCTTCTAGGGCCCTTCCAGCTCCATGATTCAATGAATCGATCCAAAGCTGTAGGAGGCAGTTCCCCTGTGGCTTCCTTCCTTGCCTGCGCATCCCGGGCCAAGCCTCCTCCTACCTCACCGGCTGCTTTGGGCACCCACTGGGGCTCCCAAAGAAGAGGGAAGCCACACTGCGGAAACATGGGGATGAGATCAAAGCGGAGAGCCAGCCCTCCTAGAGGACTGTGGTGGATGTCGACCCGGATTATGTGGTCCCACCTGAGGAGCCAAAAAATAGCAACCCCCCCCCCCCCCGATCCTTTCTGGGCTTCCAGATTTTATATTTGGCCATCAGGGGGCAAAGTAGGCCCCATCCTGGGCCAAAGTGGAAAAATTATTCAGAAATGGCTCACGTCAAGGCACTGTCTTGGAGAACACGGACATCGAAAAACTGTAAGCTTTCTCTCTCTCTCTCTCTCTGTGGCCTTCCAGAGAGGGCTGGGCTACCCATGCCAGTCTCCCTCTTGGCTCTGCTGGCAAAGGGGGATGATAAGTAGTCCCCAAGGTTCCCCCACCCCGAATTACAGCAAACCCAGTCAGCCGCACGATGCCTGCGTCAAAGACATGGTTTGGGATGGCTTCTCGCTGAGCGATCCGGCTCACGCGTCCCCCACCGGGGAGGGTGTGTGTATGTGTTGGGCTCACTCACCGAAGTGTAGGCCCGCCCGCACATGCTGCAGCAATAGGCCTTGGCGTGCTTGATGGCGTGCGCCGAGAGGTGGATTTGGAGCGAGGCAGAGTCTGAGTACGCCCGGTAGCAGTTTGGGCACTTATATGGCTTGTCCTTGTTGTGTTGCCGCTGGTGGGACTGGAGGAAAGAGAGCGACGACAGCCTGTCAGGCATAAGCGGCAGCCATAGTCTAGCCCACCGGCCCCCAGAAGGAGAAAATTGTGGTAAGGTTCCCCCCCATCCGCGGGATCAGTATCCACTGATTCACTTATCCGTGCCTGAAAACGCTATACCTGTATTCTTTATTGGCCAGTTCTGGTAAATATAACCTGGAAGAAGGTGTGCATACGTGTGTAAATATATTTACTGTGTACATTTAACACACACACATACAAACTCTTCCTGGGTACATTTACCAGAACTGGCCATGAGAGAGACCCACAGATCATGCAATGTATAGCATTCAATACTTCCACATTTTGGAAAATCCATGGGGGGAAAGTCAGCCGAATATCAGGAAAAACTTCTCAATTGTTAGAGCAGTACAACAATGGAAAACAATGGAACTATCCAACTTCACTATTCTACGATTTCTGGCCATTTCTGTGACTTTCAGGTGCCATGAGGTTCTTCATAAGTTTTTGCTGCTCCAATTGAAAAACACACACACACACACACACACACACACACACCGTTTTGGAAAGTTTCATCATCAGGATCCGTGGAGGGCGACGCTGATGGGTCAGGGGGTCAATTTGTGCATCCCTGGAACTCTCCAAACGTAGCGCAGCCCCCCCCCAACATGAAAACAACCCAACCCTACCTCTCTAATGTGACACAATAACCCAGCAAGGGAGGCCAGGGGAAGGCTCGCCTCCGGTCATTCCCATGACCGCGCAAGGCCAAGTGGGGATTCGACCCCAACGATGTCGACCTCCAGCACTCTTAACTGCCACACCACACGGGATAAAGAAGTCATCATCCCCATTAATAAAAAGTCCCAGAGCTTCAACCTTGTGAAGCCACATTCGGACTCCCCTGCTTTCTGTCCACGATGGGAAACGGGGTGAGAGACGGCCCTCCTTGATGATCGGGTGGAAAGGGGTGACCAGGTTGGGTGTAAAGCAGCACCCCCCCAGGTGTTCTCGGACTACAACTCCCAGAAATCCCAGCCAGCACAGCTAGTCGTGGAGGCTGCTGGGAGTTGTAGTCCAAGAACACCCGGGGACCTAAGGTTGGAAACCACTGGTGGAAAGGAACGAAAGTAAAACCTCCGCGGTCCCCTACGTTTCGTGCTTTTCCCTGTTAGAAAAATCAACCCCGCTGCTGAACCGTCAACACCTTCCTGCTATGACACACACACCCCAAATGACTACGCCATCCATCATCCTCTTTTCCAAACTTGCCTGGAGGTTAGAGAGCTGCGTGAAGGCCTTTTCACAGCCAGCGTGAGGGCACTTGTAAGGTCGGTCTCCAGTGTGAATTCTGGGGGGAGAAGAAAAAAAAAAGCAAAATCAAGGGGTGGCAAAGTCCTGCGTTGTGGGAGCGTCCCATGAAAGCTGAGGCGGGTGGAAGGGAGTGGAAACAACTCTCAGGCCCCTCAGGGGAATGAGGGAACCACAGAAAGCATCCCGTATGAAAAAGATAGGAAAAAGAGGGGTTCTTTTTAAGGAACTTTCCTCAGACTTCCCCGTGGGACTCTTGAGGACTAGCGACATGATACTTGTAAACAAAAGGGAGTCACATTCAAAGAACTACCACACGTCCCTCCTTCCTGAGGAGAAGCTGGCCCCCTATTCTTTTATTTCTTTTTCTTGATCTTGAGCCCTTAATACAGCAAAATATCACACAGTTACTTATATATTATCTGAGGCATGGCATTAAAAGTTACATTTGTAATAATACCTTCCCTTTCGATTGCCAGTTAACCCACGGTTCCTTTCCAACTTTAACTGAAAAATCTAGCTGATTTCTCAGTAACCCATTGCCCCTATTTAAATCCAAACTAAAACCCAAGAAAGGCATGTCGCATAGAAACAATAATTATCCTTTTCCTGCTTCTCGTCTGATCGATCAAAAAGGGCTGGTCTGTTCCTGCAGCGCTAAAAGTAGAGACCGCAGGGATCCTCAAATCCAGCCCCTGTCAAGGAGACACAGTGGGGATTTGAACTCCCAACCAGTTCTTGCTTATGTATTTCTCACGAGAAAGGTCCTGGGCTCTGCTCATACCCGAGCAATCTCCGATCCGGTCCTCCACTAGCTAAAAACCTTCTGCCTGCACCCCACAAACCAACATTTCTCTTGATCTCTTGTGGGGCAAACCATGGGCTGACTAGGGGCAAGCCCATCGCTAGACACAAAATCACAACAACCATTTAAAACCACATCCCGCTAACGGCCAGCACACTAAAAGAGAGGGGAGAAGACACCTAAGCAGAGAGGCGGGTCTCTCCTTGAAATCAAAGGCAGGGAAGCCATTGTTGGTTACTGGTGGATTGATTGACAGTCACTCCAGCCCAGAAAGGTTCTTCCCAGCCAAAACCTACTAAAGGCAGCATGCGAGGTTGCAATAACTCCAGCAAAATTCAACGGAGCTCCCTCTCCTCTGAGATTCTGCCATGCGCTCAAGTCCCAGGGACTAGAAACTGGAGTGTGTTGCAATGTGTCTCCACACAAACTGAAAACAGAGACTTCTGGTTCCTGAGCAATGTGACTTTTTCTCCAATGGGGGGGGGTGTTGCTCGGAAGACTGGGATGGTTTCACACCCCTTAGACCACTGACCGAGCCTGCTCTCTCACCTGGTGTGCTGCTGGAGGTGGGAAAGTTGGCGGAAGGACTTCTCGCAGTAGGAGCAGTGGTAGGGCTTGACGCCCAGGTGGATGCGCAGGTGCTGCGCCAGGTAGGAGGCGTTGGCGAAAGACTTGGAGCAGTGGGGGCACTTGTGGGGCTTGGCCTCCGTGTGGGACTTGGAGTGGATCTGCATCTCCGACTTGGTGAAGAAGGTGAGCGGGCAGACTTTACACCTGCAGGGAGGAAAGACGACAAGCGTTCAAACACAAACCACCCCATCTCGGGGGGGCTTGGCGGGGTCTGGCCTTGCTCACCTGAACGAGTGTGTGTGTGTGTGTGTGTGTCTAGTACCTCACAGGATCTTGGAAACGACACCTCTGTTAATGCATCCTAAAATCACATTGGCCTTTTGGGCAGCTGCATAGCATGGTTGGCTCAAATTTAGCTTCTTATCTACAACAATTCCACGACCCTTCTCACTCGTAGTACAACTAACCCAAGCATCCTCGGTCTTGACACACCCACCCACCTCCACTCAAGCTGGGGGGGGGGAGAACTATCCGAAAACTCAGGAGCTGCAATGACTCACTGACTAAAATGCAGCTATAAATCACAAAAGACGAGACCCATTTCAGTGAATAGAACTTATGGCAGACTGGACTCATCAAATCCCCACTCATAATTCAACGGGCCTGCTCCATTTACAACTTGGGACTTCAGCCACTGTAGCTTAAACCATGGAAGGGACACGCGAGAAAAGAGTCACGTCAAACCTTGGTTAACACAGACCGTGGCCTATCGTCATTCACGGAACGGGGCAATTTTTTAAAACAGTGACATAATCACAGTGTAAGTTCCCGTCCTTGACCTGTTTATATTTGGGGGACATTCCTTGGGAGTCAATCCTCGTTTTATCTGGAAAATGGGGACCTCTTAGTTCCTCCGAGGATATGTTTCGTCCCCCTGCTCCCTCGAACTCCTGGAAGGTTCACGAAGGAGCGGGAACCCTCCACCCCCCTCTCCCCAGGTGGGGCTCGGGGCCCTTTCCTGACTCACCGGTACGTCTTGCCTTCTTTCCCGATGTCCCCCGAGGCCAGAATGGGGTAGGGGACGACCAAGACCGGGGGGCCCGACGGGTTCTCTGCCTTGATCTTCTTCCGGCCCCGCTCCGACTTGGGGGCGCCCAGCAAGCTGTGGCTCTGGATGGTCTTGATGGAGTCCAGCAGCGGAGGGCTGGTGATCCCTGAGATGAGGGTGGGCGAGGATGCGAGGAGGCGGCTCTGGCTGGTGGAGGTGGGGGTGGAAGGTGTGCTGGTGCCCGTGCCGGCGCTGGATTCCGAGGTGCTGACCGCAGGAGCCCGGGAGCCCAGCCCCAAACCTGGAAAGCACAGAGAGGGAGAGAAAGGGAAAACCTCAGACCCGCATCTCCGAACGTTACAGAGGGAAGACGGTCACCGACAGTTCAAATCAGAAACGGGGAAACACCAGAAGACAGGACGAATACGTTGCATTGACACCCCTCCTTTCTCTCTGATAAGGCTGCCCTGCCTCTACATCATCCTCATATCCTCCATCACCCTATGACTCCTTCGGCGGCTAAATTCTGAAAACGACCTCCAGGAAGACTTTTTCCACTCTCCTCCTTCTGCCCCCCCCCATCATAGTGCTCCTGTTGTGGATTCATGGCTCCCCCCTACTCCTCATCCCTCCTCATCCCTCCTTCCTTGCATGTGGCACCTTCCCAATCGTAAGCTTCCAGGGGTGGAATTCTCTCTGCATCATATTTTCTTTCCTTTTCCCCTTTCCTTTATTTTATCAGGATCCAGAAGCCGCTCCACGGCTGGGAGGGACTCGCTTATCCTGTCCCACCGGCGACTTGACTCGGTCTTGAGTCGCTGGGGTGTTTTTTTTCCATCCCCAACGACTCAGACTTGACTAGTGACTCGGGAACCCACCTTCCCTTTTTTTCCCCCTCCCTGGGGAGAAAAAAAGGTTTGTTTTTTAATAAGGGCTTGGGGGCCAGACCCAAAGACTGGCCAAGCTCCGTGCTTTGCGGATGAAAAGCAGGGTAAAACCATATTAACATCAAATCGTTTTTTTAAAAAGCCCTTTCGTGAAATACAAAACTGGTAGCAAAGGTTCAATTGCGTACTCTCTGCCTGAACAGGGATATTTAATGTCACTCGGGTACTCCATTTATTGACCCCAGAAGGATGGAAGGCTGAAACGCCTCCGGGATCCCGTAGGGATCAAACTCAGGTTGTGAGCAGAGTCTTGACTGCAGAACTGCTGTTTAACCACTACGCCAGGAGGCTCCCTCCACAGAAAACAGAGTTTTTTCCTGTTGCAACCCTCCCGACCCAAAACTGTAGCTTGTTTTCCCCGCTGTCCACTGGAAAGAAAAAAACCAGAGACGTAGAGGACAAATACAGTGGTGCCTTGCTATACGATGTTAATTCGTTCCAGCGAAATCACTGTAGAATGAAAACATCGCAAAGCAAAATTAAAAAGCCAACAGAAACGATTATTGCGTTCCTATGGGCTTGAAACTCACCGTCCAGCAAAGATCCTCCATAGCGCGGCCATTTTCGCTGCCCGTGCAGCGAGGAATCCATCCCAGAAAAGAGCGGGGAGCCTTTTTTTAAACCCGGCGGCCATTTTGAAACCGCCGATCAGCTGTAGGAAAATCATCGTTTTGCGAGAATCAGTTCCCGAAGCACGGAACCGATCATCGCAAAGCGAAATTCCCCCATAGGAAACATTGTTTTGCGATCGCTTTTGCGATCACAAAAACTTCACCGTAATGCGATTTTGTCATAAAACGGAGCGCTCGTCTTGCGAGGCACCACTGTACAGTAATACTGCACTTAGCGCTCGAGATCCATTTCAGGAAAAGGGGGTGGCTAAACACAGAGTGGGTAGACACAGTCGGGTTGCCCAGAACTGGGTCTACCTCTAAAAGGCCGCTACTGAGCACCGTCTGAGCACATGCGATAAAACAAACGGGTGCTAAAACGCTGCAGCGCTATGCGAGGCACTGCTGCATAAGCAACAAACCTTGATTAGCACAGACCATGGCTTACTGTGACTCAGAGGGTACAACACTGAGTGATGAGGAGCAGAAATTTGACTTTCACACACACACATGCATGATTTTGTTCTTGCATGACATCCGAAGTTTTCAGCACAAGCTGCCTACCTGTAACAGTGCTGGTGGCCGGCCGGGCGTGTAGGGCGACATCCGGCTGCGGGACCGCCTGGGGGTGCAGCCCGGGGACTTGCTGCAGCTTAGGGATGGACATGATGGACTGACTGCTCTCTGCGGGGGAGGGGGGCACCAGCAAAGGCTGCTGGGAAGACACAGACGTTGGGGGCAGGTGGGGCGGCCGGATCTTCTCTGCCATGAGCTGCTCCTTGATTTTGTTGATCAGAACGAGATTGTCCAGCTTCGCAGGGTCGGTGGGAGGGAGGGGGAAAAGAAGAAGAGGAGTTATCCACCAGAAGACAGCAGGGAGAGAAGCCAGAACTCCCGGGAAATGCTACAAAATTATCTCCCCTGCGTTAAGCAGAAGACTGATGGACATGGCCTGTTAGTAGAGGTCTACCAGTTTGTGTTGATGGACTACACCTCCCAGAATCCCCCGTCAGCCACGATAGAAGCCTTTGAAAAATGCACAGGGTTCCCTGGATCGAGAGGCTGACTGATAAAGAAGTACTAGAGCGAATGAATCAAGATGAAGAAATCTCAAAACAACATAAACTACAGAAAATCCAAATACCTAACTGATGGAATGAAAAACAAAAAAATATTATTGATTGTTACTGGCTGACTGGGGAATTCTGGGCGTCATAGTCCAGAAACACAGATGGGCACAACTCTTTCTTTTCCGAGTCCTGGATCTGGAAGTATATGCCAGTCAGAGAGGAGAGAACAGTGAACAAAATTTGTCTCTTGCAACTACAGATGGGAATGTGGTAGAGTTGATTTAAATCAAGCCAATTTCAATCACTAGTCAGCAAGACTCAACTGAAACCATGATTTTCAAATGGAAAGACTCATTCTTGCTGGTAGCTATAATTTTTAATATTTACATCCAGGTGAAGACTTCATATTTAGAATAATAACTGTCAGATGCGTAAAACATCTATATCAGAACAGATTTTTGTTTTAATAAATTAATCACTCATATTTGGAGAACTGCTGAAATTGCTTCATTTAACTAAAACAATAACATTTTACGTATCTTTGCATTTGTTTAAACATCAATGTCTTTGTGGTTTGTACAACGACAATGGAATTAAGATCCTTTTCTGAACTTTGTTCGTTTTATTCCATTTTTACTGTGAAAAGGTACATGCTATCTAGTTTGGATTAATTGAATTAGCTTATGAAAAATGCAAATACTGCATGAATATCCAGCCTCATGCCCCATAACTAAATTTTCTTTCATGCTGAATAACCTTTGAACTATAATGTATCTTGCATAGAAAATTATCTTTAGATTTTTCCTCCAAGAGCATTTCATGAAATTTGATTTTAATTTTAAAAATCCGATTTAAATTTTAAAAAACCCAACATTTCATTTCTTTGTTTATTAAATTGTTGATTTTAATCCACCCTGGAATGTGGATATTTTTGGTGGGGACGGGGGGGGGGGGATAGAATACAATACCAACAAAGAAGGAAGCAATCTTAAGCAGTCCAAACACTTTTACAGTGTTCAGGAGGTCCACAATAAAGAAGGGGTGAAATATAGGGGAGCTTAGGGGAGCCATGAGACAAGATTGTCACAAGGTAGTCCTGATACAGAGAATGATGGGAAGCAGCATAAGAACCGCCATCAAGAAAAGCTTTTAAAAAAATGAAAGACTTTGAAATACGGGTCTTTCAAAGGACGTTAAGAATTCCCTGGGTTGAGAGGGTGATGAACAAAGAAGTACTAACACAAATGAATAAAAAATAAGAAATCACAAAACACAAAAAGTTACAAAACAACTACCAAGTTAACAATATTTGGCCAACACCATCAGAAACTGAAAGTAGAGCTATTTGCGGCTGATCGGTCAAGGGGAGCGAAAACGGGAAACCACGGCTCAGCGCTGCTACCCGATAAAATGTCCCAGAACAACTTAGTAGTGTGGTAATGAGTTTCATTGATTAACATAAGGCAGTCCTCTGAGTTCCTACACTTTTTAAGCCACTAGAAACGTCAGCAAACTGTAGGAAACCTCTTTTTTTATTCAGAGAGGCCAGGAGGGCTCTATGGCTCATAGAAAAGATGCTTACCTGGCTGGGCATGGTGGGAGGGGGTGGCCAGAAGTACGGGTTGTTAAAACGGGGTTCCGCCATCCTGGGGAGGAATGAGAAGGACGAGAAAAGCATTGGTTATGACTCGGAACTGCCCATCCAGGAACAACTGGGATACAAACACAGAAGACGTAAATAAAAGAAGTGCGGCCAGAATCTGACGGGTGTGGCTCATGCCATTTGCCCGTTGCTAATTGACAAGGTGCTGGCCTGCAGTCTGGGCACCTCAGCAATTAGCCGCGAGCTCCACTTACAAAACAAGCAGGATGCTGGGAAGTTAATCAAGAAGATCAGAATGTTTTTTTTTAATCTGAGAAAATTAAATCTTGGCCATAAAAAAGAGAGCGTTATCCAAGTACAGTAAGTTCACGATATCCCCGGGAATCTGGCCCCCGTCATGCAAAAAAAAAGTGGAAGGCGTGAACGTTATCCATTGCATTGTCTCTGGCTCCCTCTAGTGGCTAGCTCTGATAAATACACCGTGGAAATACAAATTAATATGTATTTCTGTATTTTCTTTAACGTTTTCAGACAGCAGATGAATGCATTTGCAGATACTGTTCCTGCAGAAGGGGGTCTTATTGTATACATGTAACTAAAACCGACACAATCACGCCAAGCCATTCCAGTACAGACACAACCATTCATACACAAGACAAGCAAACTTTATAGGGCAGCAAAAATTAAACACTCGGAGCTAAAAATCAAAGCAAAGGCTGATTGATATAAAAGCTATTATATGCATTTATGTCAGCTATGGACTCTTTTTTTCAGTAATCACTGCCTAGTAAATCTCTTTACTAGAGACCTGAATCCAATTGGTCAACCTAACAGAGTAGATTCTCAAAATTAAGGATGTTTTCATATATGTTGCCACTTAGTAAACTCAACGGCTCTCTTCGACCTGGGCTAGAAAATGAATGGAAACCATCAAAATGACCATTAAATTGACAACTCTTCAAATAAGCTCCTTGGTTTGCTATGAGCCCAATATAATAAACAAAAAAACCACCCCTTCTCTCTCTCTCTCTCTCTTTTTGGTGTATATTCAGAATCTGCCATTGCAGGTCCAGAAATTCTTAATTCTGCTAGAAACAAAGAAATTCTTAATTCTGCCTCTCTGCCCTATCCAAGCCTTATCATATTATGGGAGGATGAAACAGCCACCCAACTTTATGGAGCAGGCCCTTTTCGGTGGTGGCCCCCAATGTTTAGAATACGCACTCTTCAGAAATACCAGCACATTCCTACCATTTTTAATTTTATGCACCCGTTTCAAACCTCTTTGTTTTCGAAAGCCTTTGCCGCTCACAGTTAACTGCACTTATTTTGTGTTATCGTTCGACACTGCTTTGAAGTCTTCTGCCCCAAGTAATTTATGATCCATACATTTATACAATTTGCTTGCAAATAAATAAACAAACCAAGGAGGGCAAAAATTCAGCTGCAGAGTAAAAGTATCCGATAAAGCAAAATCTCCAGGAACGTATTCATGTTAAGCGTCTTACCCCAGACACAAGTAAGATCGGCGGGAAATCTTTAAGACGAATAAGTCTTATTTGGTGTGAACTTTCAGAGATTATCACCCACTTTTTCAGGTTAAAAAAAAACCCTAAAGAAATTGGTTAAAATCCATAAAAACCTAAATGCCACAAGAGTTCTCATTGACTCAGTTAATCAAGGGGTCCATAACCTTTTTATCACATTAGTAATTTACAGTCAAACAGAAAATCACGCCAGAACTATGAAAGAAGCAGTCGGGTAAAACACAATGTATTTGGCGCATCGGATGATGACAAGTGTTATGGAAACGACATGACGCAGAATTAAAATACATTCGCAAGCTAAAACCAACCCCAAAAAGGCGACACAGAGCCTTTTAACACCCCACCCCTGCTTCCGTGGCCCCATCACATCAACAGCGTTTTGTGGGTCGGAATAGAAAGGCCAGCTGCAAATATGTAATGCATCCTTATCTTAACCATTTCAATCGCATCTTAAACCCAGCTCATCTCAAGTTAGTGTTTTCACCCCACGAATTTTGATGGATTGAAAACATTCTTAACCCCACTTTCTCCTGAAAAGGACCCAAGACTCCTTACAACAATTAAAAGACAATATTGAAGCGGACAACAGTGAGTCTGTAATTCCTAAAAGGGATCAAATGAATACCATACACCATAACGGCGATAATCCATTCCAGGAAAATCACAGTTCAGCGAAAACATCGTAAAACAAAATTAAAAACCCCACTGAAATGCACTGAAACCCGTTCAATGCATTCCAGTGGGGTAAAAACTCACTGTCCAGCGAAGACCCCCCATACGGCGGCCATTTTCGCTGCCTGTATAGCGAGGAATCCGTAACACAGTGGGGAGCCATTTGAATTACCCGGCGGCCATTTTGAAACCGCCGATCAGCTGTTAGAAAAACGTCATTTTGCGAAGAATCAGTTCCTGAAGCAGGGAACCAATCATTGAAAAGCAAAATTCCCCCATTTAGACCATCGTTTTACGATCGCAAAAAGATCGTCATAAAGCGGATTCGTCGTAATGCAGGGCAACTGTAAAGCGAGGCACCACTGTATTTAAAAAGTGCATGCAAACACCAAAAGACATTCAAAGCAATTAATGAACTGCTCTAATGAAGCACCATGTCTAAGTACACACCCTTTCCTTCCAACCATCGGAGAAGGCGGGGGCAGGAAGCACCTTAAAGAGAGGGGGAAAGGAGGAGAGGCGGTGAAGGGGTGCTTTGACTCGAGGTTTGGGGGGGCACCTCTTCCACTCACCTTCCAGATGCCCAGCTAGCAAACCCAGATCAAAACCCCACGGCTTCCACTATAATACAAGACACACCACCTCCTCTGCCACTCGGCACCTCCCACAGGGTTGTGTTACAGCAGGAAAATGGTGCAGACACTCAAAAAAATGTGTACAAATACAAAAAGGAAATCTGAATGGTCCTTTTACCAAATCCAGAAAACAAGAGAGGGGAACATTTTTATCAAACCCCATAAATTTCAAAGTTAGGTGAGCGCTGAGCCTGGCAGGATTCATCCTCAAGCTCGGGCAGTTGAAATGCTGGCCTTTAGGCTTTTAGGGTGACCCAATTCAACTTAAAATTTAGCTTCAAGGACTTGCATACATTATACAGTGGTGCCTCGCTAGACGATGATGATCCGTTCCACTGAAATCGTTGTATAGCGAAATCACTGTCTAGTGAAAAGCATTTCCCTATTGGAATGCATTGAAACCTGTTTAATGCGTGCCAATGGGGAAGAATCGTCTAGCGAAGATTGGCCATAGGAAAGCCGCTTTGCGAACTGCCAAGCAGCTGTTTAAATAGCTGTTTTGCGAAGCTTAGGTCCTGAAAACACCCATTTTGCGAGCGTGGAGGGAGCTGTCAAAATCATTGTCTAGCGAAAATCAGTTTGCAAAGCAGGGACCAAACACTGTCCAGCGAAATTCCCCCATAGGAATCACTGTTTTGCAAATCGCTATAGCGATCGCAAAAAGTCAATGTCTAGCGAAAAAACTGTCTAGCGAGGCACCACTGTATTATGTTTTCTCTTACATTGCATGGAAATGTATACAGGTAACTAACTGCATTACAAACCCTGTATCTGCCGGAGATCGGTTCTAAGCTCCGCCCACCGTGGATAAAGACAAACGCAGATTACAGTGAATGACATTTTAATGCTGGGTCTCTGGCTCTGCTATTGTCCACTTCTGGTAACTTCATATTTAGAAATATATCTTTCTAGGAATTTTCTTTTAATATTTTTAGACCGTGGATAAGTAAATCGGAGGATACCGATCCCACAGATAAGGGGGTCGCTACTGCATATTAAAAAATGAGGCATTTGGAATGCAGGTTATCACAGGATGCTAAACATTTGTTGGATCGAGAGGGTGACCAACGCAGAACTGCTAAGGTGAATGAATAAAAATGAAGAAATCACAAAATGCACAGCATGGAGCAAGCTAGAGTTCTTTGGCCCTGGAATGAGAAATTAAAAAATACAGACGCCTGCCACGGGTCATTCAAGGTGAAATAAATTTGAAAGGAACACCCAGAAAAAGAATGTGGCTGATAACTATGGTTGGATTTTAGCTCCTGCATCCAACTTGCTGTCATGTCCAAACTTCTAGCAGGAAGGTGTGGGCAAATCAAGGATCTCTGTTCCTAAAGAGTAATCCAAACAAGGCTGGAGCAGAGTAAAATAAAGGAGAAGCATTACTTCACCTAATACTTGACACACAATGCAAGGCCAGTAAAAAGGAAAAAAGACTGTACAACCAAGCACAAGGAACTTAGAATATGGCCTTCACGTGCCCCCCCCCCAAGAATCATCTCCTTCATGTCCCAAAAACAAACCTTGGAACGTCCTTCTGGTCAGCACAAAACCTAAATCTTCCTGCTCAAAGAGACCCGCAGAACCAACTGCTGAATTACTAGGAGATCTACACATGTGTAAAACCATGCTGATTTGGTTGGTTTACCCTGGTTTGGGACCGGCGGCTAGTTTTAAGCCCGTTAACTCGACGGATACAAACAGCAGAGCCTTACTCTTGATGAATATATCGTTTTGTTTTATGAAGCCAGATTTTCCTCTTGTGTTTAAGATCCTGAGAGTCGTGTCCAAAACGGTGTAGCCACATTCCTGTCTGACCTGGTGCCATGTAATTCACTCAGAGATTGGTGGGTATCTAGAAAGTTTTCTGGATTGAACTTGCAAACATCCCCTGCACATCGGATGCTAAATTTAGGGTTCTACTTCATTGCCACTCCGTGCATTGCTGGCTGGAAAGAACCTTCCCTACAAATACAATAGCAGCATCGAGAAAAACGAACTCTGAATCACGCATGGGGTCGACAAAAAAAAAAAAAAAAAAACAAACCAATTGCCATTCGCTTATAGACTCCTAGCATCATGAAGTGGGAAGGGGCTTTTAAGGCCACAGAATCCAACCCCCTGCTCAAGGCAGGGATCCAGAACAAAGCAGACCTGAAAGATGGTGGACCCGTTTTCTCTTGAAG